TTGGTCTTTGCTTCTTTTGACTGTTGAGTAGTAGTTCTGCAAAGTCCAAATGTATAGAAATAGAAGTCTTGGTTTCATGGACTCTACTGATTAAAAAGATAATTGAAAGTTTTCTTCATGTTTATACATAATGAGGACAGAGATTGAGTACATTTTCTTAATCATTGGTGTAAGATATCAGGAGCAGCATGCAGTCTAAAATAGAAATTCAGCATACTTGCTGGAAGGAAACAGACTAATAGTTTTTTCTTTTCTAATTTGTGTTTTTTAACATTGAAACCACTTCTGGATTTAGATACCTCTTAACAGTTACTTCAGGTTTTTTTAATGCCGTTATTTAAAATGTCACCTATTATCCAAAAGGAATAAAAGAACAAAAGGAGTAATTATTCAGGAAAAATAATATTTTAGAAAATTATTAGCTTTGATTGAAAATGTTTCACAGATTTCCTCAAAGTTTTCAATTATTAATAAGCGCACCAGGCAGTTCCTTTGTGATACTTAAGTGATTCAGTCATTAATGGCAAATGGAAATCTAATTTGTTTAGAGGGGAAAACAGTTGTAGTCATCGCTAAATATGCTGTGTGAAACCCTGAATTAAAATTTCAGAAATTTTTACTTCCTGCTCAATAGCCCATAAATTCACAGATACTCCTACAAAAAGAGCACATAGACACTTTCTGCTCCTGTAATGCACAACCAGTGTGAGATTCTCCTGCACTTCAGGACAGGGTGTATTCAGCCTGCTGCAAGAGGAGGGGGTCTGTGTTAGAGCTCAGCTTGGCTCTCGGTTATTTTCCTTGGGTGGACAGTAGATTATCCCTATAATGGTTTTTGTACTGGTTTAAGTGACTGCATTTCATTGGGATTCCACCTGCAGTGGAATAACAGCTGTATGCACATAGACTTGGTTGAAGGACAGTGATTTGGTGCTCTCACAGAATTCCCCATGCACCTGTGACGCCACCTGGGCTGAAGGAAAAAGTGCAGGTCAGTGCTGGAAGCTGCCTGAAATCCCACCCCTGCACCCTGGGGCTGTGCCAAAGAGGAGACCTGGCTCTTCTCTCTGCTGGCCCAAAGTGACATCCCAGGCTGGGAGGTCAGTTTTGGCTAGTTTTGCTGGGGTTCCCACTAAAGCTCCTCTATCTGGGGTGAGTCAGTTCCACAGGAGAGGCTGGGAAGTAGATGTGAGCAGAAACTGTGTGCTGGCCCAGACTTTGCAAGGGTAAAGTTAATTAGTAAAAGCCAAAAGACATATGAAGGAATAGTATGTTTCAGATATATTAGATGAACAATTTTATTTCCCCAAATTAGCACACCCACTGCTGGGGGTAAAATAAAGAGGATAAAATAAAATTGTCTAATATAGAACATGACAAAACGACTGTAAATAATTTCCCATGACTAGAAATAAATGTTTAACAAACTGCTCCCAGTAGGCTTGTTAAAGATGAAATATTTATTACTATATGTTAATTACACAGTTTAAGCAGTACTTAAGTAATTTAAGGGGATTGGCTTCATCTTGCATTCGATAATTGTATGTGATTGAATCCTCCTTCATCAGTTGTTTTTTGTGCTACAGCAGTTTGCCCAAAGATATCCTTACTTAGTCCATGTTTGCAATGTTGGTTATTTTGTATAAGATGAACAGTGGGCAGTTTTCTTTGTGAGTTTCACAGCCCAAGCAAAATGAAATTTCATCAACACTGATGTTTTTGTATGTAGACAGAAACACAGAAGTCTAGAAAAATCTTACTACTATGGTAAAGTTTTATGTTATACTCAGAATATTATTCTCTGACACTACAAATCTGTTTTGGAGAAGTCCTTATCTGCTTTTTTCAGGCAGCAGTGTGTGAGACAAAAAAATACTTAGCATTAAAATTTTCCTCTTTTCCCTGAACATATCATAAGGTATCTGTAAATATTTAGCACTTTTACATCTTAAAATAGTGGTTTGTGCCAACCCATTTTGCACAAAATTACATTGAATGAAAATTTTGGCTTATCCCGACTTCAAACTGGTGTTGACAAAACTGTCATCTTAGAGTTGATGAAGAGCTGAAGCTCTGTGTTGCTTAGGGACTCTTCATTGTAACGACCTACTGCCTATTCAGAAGGAAAGATAAACAGAAATAAAGCAACTTAATCTCCAGTGATTCTAAACTGTTCCTGGTTACACTCTCAGATAATTAACTTCTCCTGTGATGTGCTCATTTAATAGATACCTGGTCATATGTGACCATGTTTATTTAATGTGCTCTGCAATATTTATACCACAATATACCCTTCTCATTATCAACCAGACAGTCTTTAATTTATTTGCAGCCACATATTCTGAAGCTTTTGCTTAGACAAAACTCTACAGGCTTCAGGAAAATATATCTGAGTATACACGTCAGTTTATGACTGCTCATAAATAGCTTCTGAAGGGACTGCCAGGAAAACTGAATATTTTTTCCTTCTTTTCAGCATTATTGTTCTGATATTTATGTGCATTAAAAAATTAGGGACATGCTACATGAAGTGTGATTAGTTTTGTTGCTTCAATTTTTATTTCATTTTCATTTACCACAAGCCTGAGGTTCCTCATTAGACTCATCAGTAAAATAATATTTGTCATAATGAGCATAATATTGCACAGCTCAGGAGCTCAATAGATTTATGCAGATTTCAACTCTGTGGTACCTGTCTC